GACAGAGCAGAACTGCCCCAAAGAGTTTCCAAGGAGCGGCTGGTGGATTCAAACTGCTGACCTTTTGGTTAGCAGCCGAGCTCTTAACCACTGTGCCATCAGGGCTCCTACTCGTAACTAGTCTCAACAATTTTCATCATATTCTGATCATTTTTACTTCCCTCTAATTTTGAAGCAAATCCCACATGTCATCTCATTGCGTCTAAATATTTTAAAATACCTTTCTAGAAGTTAGGACTCCTTTAAAAAAAAAAAAAACGATAATTACTAATAACACACCTAAAAAATTAACAATATTTCTTTAATGTCAAATAACCAGTGTTTAAAGACAAGGATGCCCACTCTCACCACTACTATTCAATACTGTACCAGAAGTCCCAGCCAGAGTATTTAGGCAAGAAAAAGAAAAGGTATCCAAATCACGAAGGAAGAAGTAAAACTATCCCTTTTGCAGATGACATGATCCTCTATATAGAAAACCAAAAAGATTCCACAAGAAAGTTCCTAGAGCTAATAAATGAATTCAGCAAAGTGGCAGGACACAAGGTCAACACACAAAAATCAGCCAGGTTTCTATACATCAGTAATGAGCACTTAGAAAAGGAAATTAAGGAAACAATTCCATTTATAGTAACATCTAAAAGAATAAAATACCTAGGAATAAATTTAACCAGGGAGGTAAAAGAATTGTGCACTGCAAACTATAAAATATTACTGAAAGAAATTAAAGAAGACCTAAGTAAATGGAAGGACATCCTGTGTTCATGGATTAGATTTTCTTTCTAATACTTCAGACGAACATTTACAGAGCAAATTAGTTTCTCATTAAACAATTAATACACATATTGTTTTGTGACATTGGTTGCCAACCCCACGACATGTCAAAACTATCCCCTTTTTGACCTTGGGTTCCCCATTACCAGCTTTCCTGTCCCCTCCTGCCTTCTCGTCCTTGCCCCTGGGCTGGTGTGCCCGTTTAGCCTCGTTTTGTTTTATGGGCCTGTCTAATCTTTGGCTGAAGGGTGAACCTCAGGAGTGACTTTAGTACTGAGTTAAAAGGGTAGGATTAGAAGATTTAATATTGTTAAGAAGTCAATACTACCCAGAACAATCTATAGATTCAATACAAATCCATCAAAATTCTAATAGCCTTCTTTGCAGAAATGGAAAAGCCAATCCTCACACATTTATATGGAACTACAAGGGGACCTGAACAGCCAAAGCAATCTTGAAAAAGAACAAAGTAGGGGGACTCACATTTCCTGATTTCAAAGCATACTATAAAGCTACAGTAATCAAAACAGTATGGTACTGGTATGATGCTAGGATTATAGACCAATGGAATAGAATTGAGAGTCCAGAAATAAACCCATACATCTATGGTTAATTGATTTTTGACAAGGGTGCTAAGTCCATCCAATGGGGGAAAGAATAGTCTCTTTAACAAATGGTGTTAGGACAACTGGACTTCCAAAAGCAAAAGAATAAAGCTGGACCCTCACCATATACCTCACACCATGCATAAAAATTAACTCAAAATGGATCAAGGACCTAAATGTAAAAACTAAAACCATAAAACTCTTAGAAGTAAACATAGGAGTAATGCTTTGGGACCTAGTTTTAAAAAACTGGCTCTTAGATATGAAAAAAGCAAGAGCAGCAAAAGACAAAATAGAAAACTGGACTTTATCAAAATTAAAACCTTTTGTGCATCAAAGGACTTTATCAATAAAGTGAAGAGACAACCTACAGACTGGGACAAAATTTGGGAGAATCATATATCAGATACAGGTTTAATATCCAGAATATATAAAGAAATCCTACAACTTAGTTACAAAAAGAAACCACCCAATCAAAACAGGGGAAAAAGACTTGAATAGACATTTCACCAAAGAAGGTATACAAATGGCTAACAAGCATATGAAAAGATGCTCAATGCCATGAGTCATTAAAAAAACTCACTGCCGTCGACTCGATCCTGACTCATAGCGACCCTATAGGACAGAGCAGAAGTGCCCCATACGGTTTCCAAGGAGCACCTGGTGGATTCCAACTGCTAACCATTTGGTTAGCAGCCATGGCTCTTAACCACTACGCCACCATGAGTCATTAGGGAAATGCAAATCAAACCACAATGAGATATCAGAAAAACAGAAAACTAAAAGTGTTGGCAAGGATGTGGAGAAGTTGGAACCCTCATCCATTGCTGGTGGAATTGTAAAATGGTACAGCCACTGTGGAAAACAATCTGGCAGCTAATCAAAAAGTTTTTAAAATTTTTTTTTATATTACCCAGCAATTCCACTCCTAGGTATATACCAGAAAGAAATGAAAGCAGAAACACGAACATATACTTGTACATCAATGTTTATTGCAGCACTAGTCACAATAGCCAAAAGGTGTTAATATCCTAAAAGTTTATCAACAGATGAATGAACAAAATGTGGTATATCCATACAACGGAATATTATTCAGCATAAAGAGAAATGGAGTCCTGATACATGCTACAAAATGGATGAACCTTGAAAATATTATACTAAGTGAAGTAAGCCAGTCACAAAAGAACCAAATATTCTATGATCTCACTTACATGAAATACCTAGAATTTGGCAAATGTATAGAGACCAAAGTTTATCAGTGGTTACCAGAAGTGGGAGGGAGAGGGAAAGAGGAATCATTGCCTAGGGGGCACCAAGTTTCTGTTAGTGGTGATAGAACCATCTGGTAACAGTGGTGATGGCTGTACAACATGATGAACATAATTAATGTCACTGAATTGTACATGTAAAAAATGTTGAAATGGCAAATGTGCTGTTTTACATATTTTTTATCACAATTTTAAAAATCCAGTGTTCAGATTTTCAATTGTTTTATAAATGTCCTAAGTGGCTTTTTAAAATAATTTATCGTTTAAGCCAGAAACAAAAGTAAAGGCATCACCCTATTATAATCAATGGTATAAAACAGAAGCAAAATGACTTGCACAAGGCCTAAAGACTACTGTTAGTAAACATGTCTATAGCTCTTACTATGTGCTAGCATTGTTTTAGGGATCCTATATATAGTAACTCATTTAACCCTATGACATAGGTGAAATAACCAACAGCACCATTTTACAGATGAGGAAACTGAGGCACAAAGGTTATAACATGCCCAAGATCACCCAGCTAACCCAACGTCTATCAGCTGGTGAACGGATAAATAAAATTTGGTGTATCCATACCATGAAATATCATTCAGCAACAAAAAGGAATGAAGTACTGATACATTCTACAACATGGATAAACCTTGAAAACATCATGCTAAGTGAAAGAAGCCAGTTGTAAAAGACCACATATTGTCAGATTCCATCGAAATTTCCAGAATAGGCAAATCTACAAACAGACTGTAGATTAGTGGTTGGCAGGGAATGGAGGGGGATGGGGAAATTGGGGGGTGAAAGGATACAGGGTTTAATTGAAGGTGATGAAAATTTTCTAAAATTGACTGTGGTGATGGTTGCACAACTCTGTGATTATACTAAAAACTATTGACTTGTACACTTTAAATGGGCAAACTGTATGTTACGCGAATTATATCTCAATAAAGCTGTTTTTGTAAAAAAGTAAATTATCAAAAGGTTTAAACCAAGGAATATTTCTCAGTCATGTACCATACTAAGCACTATGATACTTACAAAGCAAGTGTTTAAGACACAAACCTTGACCTCAAACTGCTTGCAGTTAAAGAAAAAAGGTACACATAAAATATAGAACACACTTTAGTCTTAAGACTTCGTGCTTTTTTCTCTAAAGGGTAGTCAACTATCTGAACCAAGTTTTCTGATTCATAAAAGCCATTAGGATAGTGCCTAATGAACATGCTGGTTATGATAAGTGTGATCCTGCTCTTCTGCCCACCTTGGAGGCAGGCAGGGGTTATGACCAACCACAGGGTCAGCTTGTAAGAGAGCAACCTATAGAATGCTTACGGAGCTGGGGCTGGGCCTATACACCTTATAACTGAAAGATCTGAGTAAATTTTTTCCAACTAAAGAGGCCACGACAGCTTGACAATCCTGGGCAAAGCTAAGATATGGGTCCTCCTCCCTGGGTTTAGCAGCTGAATGTCTGGTTTGTTACACCACTGGGGAAGCTATACACACTGGGCCACCTTCCTTGGTCCTCAAAACTGCAATAGCAAAGGTCACTCTGCTTGCAGTGGGCTTGAGAGCTTTACCAAGGAGACAAGGCCCTCTTCACTCACTCAGCTGCACAGTTCAGAAAGAGTGAGAGCAACAAAGGTCCTTAATGAAGACCAGAGAGATTAGTGGTCATGAAAACTCATACAGTGTGTGTTTAGAAGAGGGAAATGAAGGCAACAGCAGGAGACATAATCCAGGGAAGGAGACAGCTTTGGGGTCTGAGGCTGCATACAGTAACCCTAACATTGAAGAAAACACAGGAGGTGGCTCACTTACAACCAGGAAGGATTTCTGGAGGTAGCATTAATCTTAAATGAAAAATGAGGGAACTTCTGTTCAATTTCAAAGTGCCTGGCTATGAGGCACTTATGGCTATAGGGCGCTATTCTACCCTGAAGCTACTGGAATAGCATGTAGCTCGATCTCCAATGAACCCATGAAGCCCACATGCCAAGTACAGTATATTATAAAACAACGGATGCACATCAGAAAGATGTTTAAATTTTATAAACATGTGAATTCAGCTTAATTTTATAAGAAGGACTTACGGCAATCAAAACTTAGAATCATACTTAAGCTAACAAATGTTTACTGTTTAAGATAGAACTTCAAGCAAAACCCTAATCAATGAAGTAGAAACTCATATTTTTAGCATTACTAATTATATATCTTCTCCTGAACTTTCTAGAAAGGATATTTCATATTTGGATCAAGTGACTTGGGACCAGAGTAGCCTGATGAATCAGCAAACAATCTAAGCAACATAATCCTGTAGTCAAGCTGCCTTAAAAAAAAAAAACTACATTAGTCTCCTTACCTTTCACTACTTCGGCCACATTACAGGTGGGATCAATGCTTCCTATGTGCTTAGGCTGAGCAGGACTGGCATCACCACCGAACAGAAGTGCTAAACAAACACAAAAGGGAAGGGAGAGGATTAAAAAAAAGAAGAGAAATATAGAACTTCATGAGTTTTGAAAAGGATTCTCTTATTTGTAAGAATCACCTTAGTGTCCACAGCAAGTGAGAGCAATACAGTACAACTGACAGGAGATCAACTCTCTCAGACAATGAAGGAGGAGAGACATGCTTTAAGACAGTTGCAGTTACCATGTCCTAAAGCAGTGACACTTGCCAGGTGCCCAACCCCTCTGTCCCCCACCCAGTATGACTTGGATGAAGAAACCTCCATCCTTAGCCACATTTACCCCCCTTCTCAGTACTACTCCAGACATTTATTCTGAGATTCACTAAATGTTTAGAACATGCAGTCTGCACCATTTGGACAGCCCTGCAAAGTGCCTTCACTATGAACTTTTCAAACGCCTCTGTCATGGAGGTGTTCTTTCAATTTAACATACACAGACAATATTTGTTCAAGTATTTTTAAAAATACATTCAAATAATCTCACAATAGACAAGATTTACGAGATTTTATTTCTGAAAAAAAGCCACGAACAGCCCCAAAGGAAAAAGTAATCCGAATCTAAATGCTTACAACAGTCATTATTATTAGCTGCTGTCAAGTCAACTCCAACTCATGCAACCTTATGTGTAAACAGAATGAAACATTGTCTGCTCTTGTGCCATCCTCACAATCATTGGTATGTATGAGCCCATTCTAGCAGCTATTGTGTCAATCCATCTCTTGGAGGGTTTCCCTTGTTTTCTTTGACCCTCTACTTTACCAAATGTTTATAGGGGCACTTATCTTTAAATCCAGCAAAACTTGTCTACAAAAAGACTGCCTAAAGAAAATAGAGAAGATTTTAATTATGAAAAATGATAAATATGGGCGTGAGGCCAACACATAAAGTTCCAACTGATTAAGTGGCAGAAAAACAGAGGTCTACAAGCTTAACCAACCATCTAAAAACATGTACATACACACATATTTAATATATACACACGTATTTAGATCAGAAATTATAGTTATTGAAGTAGCTTAGTTAAGTAGTGTTTAAGTTCTTTTTTGTCTGTAATTTCCATACATTTCAGTTTCTTAAAGATATACACTTAGAACAAGCCCACACGTAATAGTTGCATAACATTCATTTATCCAAATCAATCAAAATAGTAAAATACAGATGCTGTGTCCATTTTCAGATACAGCAAAGAGGATGAATTAGACTCTAGGCATGTTGATGCTTTTTCATAAGACTTACGAAAATAGCCCAAGAGACAATGCTGAAAATGAGCCAAAACGTTTGTGGTGGAGAGAATTCTGGTTTTTTTTCTCATCTGCTTATCAGCCTTGGAGTCCTGGTGGAGTAGTGGTTAAGAGGTTGGCTGCTAACCAAAATGTTGGCAGTTTGAATCCACCAGCCACTCCCTGGAAACCCTATGGGGCAGTTCTACTCTGTCCTACTGGGCCGCTATGAGTCGGAATCGACTCAATGGCAACGAGTTTGGTTTCTTGGTTTATCAGCTGAGAGAGCAGAATCTCTAGGCCATAAAATTCTCAGTACAAGATTATGGTCTGACAATCTCACATAGATGCACACTGATCACTGTGAAATAAGAGATCAATCACTCATATTGCTAACATGCCAATATCCCTAGTATGGGTGTTTTTAAAACAAAAAAGAAAAACACATAGCATCCTGGATCAAGACTAGAACATCCTCTCAGAAACATACGAAAGTACTCAGAGATGCAGGCGGGGCTGCCTTTCAAGCACAGCCTGGCCCCACCAGGAGTGTAACAGCAGGGGCTTAAAAGGCAGGCAGCAGTCCTATCTCCTCATACGAGCATCATAAAAGACTTCCAAGGATTTCTCTTAACAAACAAAACTGATGAATAGCTTTTTAATACACAGGAGTCATTTAGAATAAACTGAACTAGAAATGAAATTTCTACAGCCAAAAATGCAGGCCAGTGAAGCAAGAGTGAAGCAACAGGAAAACATTTCAGAGAAATCACCCCCGTTACTCTTCAAAAATGGAAAAACAAAACCAACTTACTGTGCTGGTTAATAAGCATGCGGAAAGAAATGCGGTTGGTGTAAAACCGATCCAGAAAATACTGGATGTTACTGCTAATGAAAGGATCAAACCCAAACTTCTCCTTGTACTCAATCACTCCTTGTGCCATTGTAGGAACCACATCATTGTGTCTGTTTCGGACTTTAAGCAGGACTTGTAGAAAGCTGTGTGGGAGGGAAAACAAAAAGTGGTCAGTCTTTCTATCTTACGGGCTGATGTACAGACTTCCCAACCCCACCCCTGAACTGTTGATCTGTTGGTATCTCTATAGGTAGAAACATCATTATCATTACATACATGCTAGAAGGAAGTACAAGAAACTAAAGTATAACCCCAAGTTTTTAAAAATTTTTATGTAATTTTATTTTAATATACACAGCAAAACCCGTTACCATTCCACAGTTTCTAGACATAATGATCAGTGACATTGGTTACATTCTTTACATTGTGTCAACATTCTCGTTATTTCTGTCCTCCAACCTTCTTGTCTGTGTTTTACAATAGCTGTTGACCCTTTGGTCTTATATAGATAATTTATTTTTTAAAGTAATGCAATACTCAAGGGTGACACAATCTTTACTTTTTGGGCTAAACTGTTAACTTAGTTTCAAGGGGACACCAGGGGATAGTTTCAATTCAAGGTCTGAAGAGCAACTAAGGACCACAGTCTCCGGGACTCCTCCAGCCTCAACAGGTCCAGTAAGTGTGGATTCTTTATGAATTTGAAGGTCTGTTCCATGTTTTTCTCCCTTTTTACCAGGATTCATCTACTGTGTTCCTGATCAGAATGTTCAGTAGTGGTAGCTGGGCACCATCTAGTTCTTCTAGTCTTAAGGTGAAGGAGGCAGTGGTTCATATAGACAATTACTCTTGTAGTCCAGTTCCTTCTCTGATTCTTTGGTTTTCTTCTTTATATTTTGCTCCAAATGAATAAAGACCAATAGTTATATCTTAGATTGCCACTTGTAGGCTTTTAAGACCCCAGACACTACTCACCATACCGGGAGGTAGTACATAAACTTTAAGAACTATATTATGCCAACTGACTGGATTGTCCCATGAGATCATGGCCCTAAGCCACCAAAGAAAGAGAACTAATCTCATGAGGTGATAGGTTATATTTAGTTATTACTCCATGTTTTCGCTTGAAATTTTCTATAAAATATCTCCTTTCAGAGATGCAAAAAGTAAAAGGTTCTAGTAAAGAAAAAAAAAATGCTCAAATACCTTTTTAGGAACCCAGTGACTTTTTGAATAAGTGAATACATATAATACAGACTCTATAAATGTTTGCTGAATAAATTATTGTGGAATATATCAATATTTCTGACATGGGGACACGCCAAAAATATCTCCAAAGACTTATTAATGAAAATGAAAAACAAATATTTTCTATCAGCATGAGAATTTAGTCTTTGTGCATAACAGCAGTAATAGAATTCGGGTTGCTGTATAAAAAACACAAGCTTTCATGCTTCTCCAAAATAAAACCGTTGCAGCTTTCTGAGTTCAAATATAATATCCCACTGAATTTTTTTTTCTAATTGTAAAAGACTGAGTAGATAAATTCATGTGTATACTGAGGACCCTGCATTCTTAAAACTACCACTAGGTGGAACATTTACTGCAATATTTATAGTGAGTGCCCAGCTCACCTTGAGTAAACGGAATAAGAATTAGATCGTGAAGCACAATTTGAACTGTCATTATTCCTTTTGTACTATGCTAAAATCTTAAACTCAATTTAAAAAAATGCAATATTAAGTCATTATCCATAAAGAAACCTAATGCTCTGAACAAATTATACTTCCTGGTTCTTAAAGCCATGAATTCCACTTATCAAAACTTTTTTTTACCTATATGTTTTTACTTTCAGGTAAGTTTGGCACTATACTTACTTATCCAAGACCTGTGGATCTTCAGGGCTCTTATTTTCATATTCTAAAAGTTCAAGAAAGCTCTGCATATACCTAAAAAAAAAAAAAAGGTACTGTTAGTTGCCTACCCAGCATACATTCCTCTTTTACCTGAAGTGCTTCAGGGGAAGTTGATTGCAAGCAAAGCTCCTGGGTAAGCCGATTTTTCTATGGGTAATTCCATTTCTCTTGCCACTAATTAGTCCAATAGTCCAGGTCTAAGTCTATCACTGCCTCTATTTCCCCCTGAACACAGGGACTGGCTCAGGAATGGGCATATGTCTCAATTCAGGCCAATAAAATAAGAGGGAAGACTTCCTAGGGGTCTCTGGGAGAGAAATCAACTTGCTCTGCTTCTGTACAGTCTGCTATGTGGATGTGAAGCCTGGAACCGCTGTAGCTATTATGCAACAAGGAGGAAATCCAGCCTTAAAATGAAGCTGACACCATGGAAATCAGAGTCTTGATAACTTCATGAAACCAACAGTAAAAGCTTACCCTATGGCTGGACTCAAATTATTGTTCAAGTCAGGGTTACTTGGATTTTCTACTACTTGCAACCAAATATTCCTAATGGACACAGCAAGTCTATAGTTTGAATACAAAAAAGTGCATATAGATTTTAAGAAGCATATTGTGACACTTGAAGTGTACTCTAAGAACTTAGAAACTAGAAAAAAAAGTAGGTGCCTTGTCAGAGTTAAACTAATTTCCTCAACACATAATGGAGGAGAAGGAATGCCTCCTAAGCCCTCAAAACCAGCTTCTGGTTGAAGAACAGCTACAGGTCTCAATCAGGACCAGTATAAGAAACAAGGTATCCAACATAAAGATCTAGAGAACAAAGGAAAGTGGGATTCAGAGAGGCTCATTACTGCAGCAGCTCCATCCAGACAGGACCAGCTGAATCTGGTGGGGATTCAGATCTTCCAATTACATAGACATGTGTGATCACCGCTTTCGGCCTGAACATGTTCTGAAAGAATTATCCCTTTATCCTAATTGTTTCTAACAGCCAATTATAATTAATTAATAATTACTCTTACTATCTAGCTTTGGATAGAGGATGAGGGCACTCCAGTAACAAAAAATGACTGTTAACTCATATAAACAGGAATGAACTTTGTGGCAATGCAAGTGATACTAAAGCATGCTCATCTCTAGATAAATTTTTAAAAAGTCTCTGGGCTGTGGATTAGATGTTGTTAAAATCATCAGGTAAAACCACTCTCAGAGGCCAAAGTCAGCAATCCCCCGTGAATCCCCCTGCCCTGCCACATGCAAAACTCGCATCAGGCACCCCCGTCCCTTTCCGGGACGGTCCTTTCTGAACGGAATAATTCATTTAAAGAGCAAAGTCATAAATGGAGAGCAGTCAAAGTTCATGCCAAGGTTCCCTGCCTGAAAGTCAAGAGAGCAAAGAAGAACACATTCAGACTGAGGGAACAAGGTGGGATTCACAGCCTGTCACACATCAGGCTTGCTTGAAAAAGAAGAAGGAAATGACAACTCATCACAATGCATGATCCTGAATTGGATTCCCAAATGGAGGAGGTGGTGGGGTTGCTAAAGAGAACATTAGGACAACTAGCGAAACGAAAATAAATTCTACTTATTAGAAAATAGTACTGAATCAATGTTAAATTTCCCAAATTTGATTATCATACTGTGGTTATCTAAGAGCTGCTCTACAGAAATAAATACTGAAGTATTTAGTGATAAAGGGACATTAACTCAAATGGTTCAGGGGGAAAAACCATATGTGTATTATGTATATAGATACTATATATAGGTACGTGTGTTACGTGTATGTTTCTCTATCTATCTATAGAGAGAATATGATAGAGCGAATGTTGCCAGATGTTAACAATTAATGAATTTAGGTGAAGGTATACATATACGGTGAGGATGGCGTAGGAGCAGGCAGTGTTTCGTTCTGTTGTACGCAGGGTCGCTCTGAGTCGGAACTGACTCCACGGCACCTAACAACAACATACATATACAGGAATTCTTTCTATTATTCTTACAACCTTCTGTTAAATATGAAATTATTTCAAAATAAAACATTTGGAAAAGAAAAGGAAGAAATGGCATGCATATGTTTGGAATGGATATGGAAGAGGAATGATGAGGAGACCAAAGAGTTGACACAGTAATCTGTTTGAGTCTACACTGTGCCAGCAGTTCACTTTGAGGTCCCTGAAGTAACTTTCACATAAATTATTAGCAAGAGTAAATGTCTGACTGTCACTGCTACCAGAACCCCGGGACATGAGGGTCCTCTAGCCTACTTAGACTCCCCACCACAGTGTCCCTCAATAGCGATTATATACTTCCTGCTGGAAAATTTCTAATGATGGCCTTGAAAAGATAAAGTAGTCTCATACAAACAAGTACTGTCTGTTCTTTCTGAAACAAACTATCAATTTAGGGCAGAGTGTAACTGTGATATCAAAGCCATGGTCACTGTCACTGTCCATCTGATCTCTCCTGGGTTCCAAGGACACTGCGCCTCAGGCAGGGAGGAGCTGCTGCTTGTCTGGAAAAGAGACTGGATACTGTGTGTAAGACCACTCACTATAGTGTTTCTCAGCGGATTCATCCTTCACCCTAATAATTTATTACAATCAATATTACTGAGGGATGACTGTTAATGTCCACTCTCTTTCAGTAGCCTGGCTTCCACTAATCCTCTAAATGCGAGCTAATTAATAGTTTCATTCTCTCTGTGTTTGTTCATGTTGTTCCTACCCACTAAAATGCTCCCCATCACTTGTACCTGCCAATTCTGCCCACCTGCCAAAGGGCAGGGCCCAACCACAGCTGGCCTCCTCCCCCCTCCTCTGTGCTCCCATAGCGCCATCTCAGTCACATCTGGCCTCCCAAATTCCTTGAGCCCAGAGCCACATCTTATTTATCTGTTTTCTCCACAGTGAATTTTATCTTGCTTTTATAGTACAGAGTAGGCATGCAAATCGTTCTCCAATATATGCAAACCCCTCCCTAAAAATGCCCTTGCCGGCTACTCTCCCATTCTGCCACTCACTGATCTCACCCTGCTTACCTAGTGGCTAGTCTACTCACAAATCCAACCAAAACTCCCCTGCTGTCAAGTCGATTCCAACTCACAGTGACCCTATAGGACAAAACAGAACTGCCCCCATAGGGCTTCCAAGGCTATAAATCCTTACCTAAGCTGACTGCCATATCTTTCTCCCACAGAGCGGCTGGTGGGTTCGAACCGCCAACTCTTTCGATTAGCAGCCGTGCGATCTGACCACTGCGCCACCAGGGCTCCTCACTCACAAATTCAACTTCCTCAATTCCACAGCACAGGCTTTAAGCCTCAGAGCTACAATCGATTTAACTTCAAGTTACACTCAGTTAAGATGTGTCACACTTGAAGTAGGGCAGATGAAGCACACCAGGTAGCTGACTGTTTTTCCAATTTGAGGTTCCCTTTTAAATAACTTACTGAATTTTCAAAGAAGCACTGCCTTCAAGGAACTTCTTAACAAGGAAAACCAAAGGAGTAAGACGGAGACTTGATAAAAGTGACAAACATCTCCTCATCCAAAGGATGACAGACCCACTCACCTGGGTTACTTCATTGCCATTCCTTTCTATTTTTCTGTACTTTCCAATTTTTTTTTTTTTACAATAAGCATACGTCACATTTGTAACCAGACAAGTGGACTTGGAAAAATCAAGAAAAGTGTCTACTACAGTTTAGAAATACTTTCCATCAAAACAATTTTAAATTGAACAGTTCTGCAATAAAAGCAGCAACTTTTAATTGCCCGGAAAACTCAGCTCCCCTGAATGACTCATTCCCAGACAAACAGTACATGTACTTTTATGGAGAATGGTCCCAATGCCAAATGTTCAGCACATCTGAAGGAAGACCGACTGTCTTCAGCCATGCTATGTACTTACCAACTCTGAACCAATCCCACCGAAGGCCGATTTAGCAAGTTGTCCGGCAGAAGATTGACTTCTCTCATTGTGTTAGCCAGTCGCACAGGAAGCTCCTTTCGGAGAAACATATATGATGTTTTCTCACACGCATTATCTCTCCCTATGAAGAGATGGAAAAGGTTCCATGATTTCACAACCTAACAGATGGAGTAATAAAGTACTCTAATGATAGTTACTGGCTGGAAGGAGAAAATTTAATAATCCTGCAGTCTCTAGTTAAATTTTTATCCTCTGAAATAGCAAGTTTAAAAAAAATATTTTATTGTGTTTTTTGGAGAAAATTTACACAGTGAATTCAGTTTTCATTTAGCAATTTCTATACATATTATTAAGTAACATTCATTACACTTTTCACAATGTGTCAGCAGTCTCATTATTTCCATTCTGGTTGTTCTGTTTCCATTAATCTAACTTCCTTCCCCCTCCCCTTACCTTCTCATCTTTGGTCTAGGGTAAATGTTGACCATTAAATCTCATTTAGATGATTGTTTAGAGGAGCACAGTACTCACAGGTGATATTATTTATTTTATGAGCCACTCTGTCTTTTGGCTGATAGGTGACCACAGGGAGTAGTTTGAGTTCCAAGTTTAAAGGGTATCCCAGGGTGATAGACTCGAGGGTTCCTCTAGTCTCTACTGGTTCAGTATGTCTGGACTTTTTTAGGAATTTGAGTTTTGTTCTACATTTTTCTCCCATTCTACCCGGGACCATCTATTGTATCCATGGTCAGAACGGCCAGTAGTGGTAGCCAGGCACCATCTAGTTCACGAAGTATCAAGTTTAAGAAAATAATCAGAATAGAAAAAGAACATTTATTCCAAGAAGCAACCTTGAAAGCTGTTTTTTCCTGAAGACAAGTATGTCCCTAAGTGTTACCAGCAGCAGTATAAAAGTGACCTAAGATATAATCTGAATTTGTTTTCAAATAAACACTGTGGGAAAACTGCCAAGTACAAATGTACTAAAAAACCAAACCCACTGCCATCGAGTTGATTCCAACTCATAGAGACCCTATAGGCCAGAGTAGAACTGTTCTAAAGCGTTTCCAAGGAGTGGCTGGTGGATTTAAACTGCCGACCTTTTGGTTAGCCGCCGTAGATCTTAATCACTGCGCCACAAGGGCTCCTGTACTAGTACATGCAAATCCACTCCTGTTCACTGGGATGCCCAGAAGGCAACGGATCCAGTCATTCCACACATATTCACCTACTGGGTGCCAAGTGTTTCCTAAGATTTTCTTCTAATGTGTTTCTTTGGGGGCCATAGCTCTGCTGGTGATGATTCCAAGGAAGGGGCTCTGACTGAGACACAGGGCTTGGATGTGCCAGTGAAACGAGCTCATGGGTGTGCTGAGAAGTGGAGGAATCTACTCCGGCACATCCAAGAGGCTAAGACCAGAGCACAGTGTTGACTCTAAAGGAGGAGGTCAGGGAGTCTTCTGGAAGTCGTCCTGCGCTGGTTGTGTGTAAACTTTACATAAGAAGGAAACAATAAGAGAAAAGGTACCCGGCCACCTGAAAGGAGAAACCCAAGCCCCTTTTCCTGTTGCCATGTGAACAGAATAGTTCTAGAACCAGTCTTGTCCCTCAATCCCCAGCCTTGCTTTAAACCTGATGATGGTTGAGGACATGATAGAAAAGATGTGAATTTTGGGATCAGAAGTGTGTTCCAGGCCCATCTTCTCCATTTTGGAGTTGTGAAATCTTTGGTAAGCTTCTTAATCTCCTGAGTCTCACCTGCCTTATCTGTAAAATGAAGACAAAACTTTAAATAGTTTTTGTAAAGACTAAACGTGAAAATCTATATGGAGCCTGATACAGAGCAAGTGTTCAATATACATGAGTCCTTCTTCTGCCCTATATGATACTTATGGGTCCATCCCATCTCCTTCACACTGGATAGACCTTACTGATGCTCCATATTCCGTGGAGGTTGTTCTGAAATGGGCAACATTGGGGTGGGGCCAGCCCAGAGAGGGGGCAGCACAGTTCATCTAACAATTTCCTCCACTAAACCAGGGCTTCGAACGGTTTGTTCTGATTCGAAAGTCTGCTGAGAATTTGTATTTCCATCCCAGATATACTGAATCAGAATCTACAGTTTAACAAGATCCCCAGGGGATTCTTACATGTAATAAATTTTGAGAACCACTGCTCTACTAGTGGTTCTCAGAACTGGTCCCTAACCAGCAGCATTACCATTGCCTGGGAACTTGTTGGAAATGCAAATTCTCAGTAGGGGTTCAAACCAGTCCGAACAGGTCTGAAGCCCTGCTCTAAACTTCCCTTATTCTTCCACATGTGATAAAGGCAGTAAATTAAGAGATTCGGAAATAAATTAGATTTTCTAATACTTCCAGCCAAGTTCTGGTTTATTCCTTTCCTCTCGCCACCAAATAAGACTTGAAATAGTGGAACCCACTCTTGAAAGTCATCTGCAGAAACTTTCTTTCCCACTGACCCTTAACCCCCCTTCTCCATTTTCAAAAAAGTCAGGATAACTGGTTAAAGACTTAAGCAATCCATCCCTCATTCTAAGTGAATATACTGAAGGCCTGCAGTAAACCTTTAACTAATCGATGATTCTTGTCTTTCACTTTTTCCTCTTAGCACTTTCACTGTGATGAATACTTTAATCCACAAAATCCCCACTCCAAGTAAGGGGGGAGAGACATAATCCTCCAGCAACAACCTTCTAACATCTACTCTATACACATTTATTTGGCCTTAGACTATTAACATTTAAAATATACATTATTCCTAAAAAGTTCCCGATAATCATTTTAAATGTGCTAAAAATGCTGATACTGAAAAAGAATCTCATAGTGAATCCCATTATAAAATGAAGGACCTATTGTCCATTTTAAACGATACATCGCAATTTTCCCATACCAGGAGAAATATTTTCTATCCTGGTTAAATATAAAAGAAAAAAAAATTTTTTAAAGCACAGAAGAAACGTTGAAGGTTATCACTGTGGGAGAAGGGAGTTAAGGAACAGGAAGAAGAGGAAGAACCCTGTGGTGTTGAATTGCAACTAGGAGTATCAGTATGAAGTCATGATTTTAAAGAGTTATCTGAGTTTTTGGCGTAGTGAAAATTCAAATGTTTCCAATTTCCAAGCCCACAGCACATCAGAAGCAGCAAACCAGAAGCCTGGGGGGAGGGCGAAAGAGAACCATGAGAAGTGGTAACTGGCTTGCAGGGGCAAGATGGCAAGTGTCAGGTCCACTGTTTCTTCTCTGAAACTCATGGGGCTAGACAGTTTCAGAATTTAAAGATTTTCAGATTTCAGGAAGGTAAAAAGGTGTATATATATATATATACACCAAACCAAACCCATTGCCATCAAGTGGATTCTGACTCACAGCGATCCTACAGGACAGAGTATAACTGGCCCCATAGGGTTTCCAAGGAGCAGCTGGTGGATTCAAACTGCCGACCTTTTGGTTAGCAGCCAAGCTCTTAACCACTGTGCCACCAGGGCTCCATATAGTATATAGACACAATATATCTGGAGCGAAATACAGGCAGTTCCCAGGTTATGAACAAGATCTGTTCCTAAGCCTGTCTTTAAGTTGAATTTGTAGGTAAGTAGAACAGGTATATATTTAGTGTCAGTCAAATGTTTGTCTTCGTATACGGTATATATTTTACCTTTCTATGCATATAGAAACATATTAAGAAACACTTCCAAATACTCTAAAACTTCTTAAACATAATAATACAGTAATAATAAAAGTAACTACATACAGTACTATACTAAAAAGAGAGAGAATCTGTGTATGTGTGTGTAGGTATACAGTACTGTAAAAAAAACAACATTAGAGAAGCAGTTCTTAAAACAGTTTAGATAGGAAAAAAAAAAAAAAAAAAGAACCGCTGAAGCCACACAATGTTTTCCTGAGAGTCACAAAGTAGTACCTGCAACTGTTATTACTGACCATTGTATTTAACTCAAATTTTTAATAGGCTTTATGGCAGTCCTTCTTAAGTACCAGTTGGATGTTCACATTAAGTAGGATAAAGACTACAGCATCAAGCCAGTTCAAGTCAGGCTTTGCCAAGGAATTAGTTTTGGCACCATACTTGGAAATCATTTTTAGAGCTTTCTGGACTTCAGAATTCAGATTACAGATTATGGTCCTGTTGTATGGTAATGACTAGGATCAGGTGCTAGAGTTAGACACCTTGGGTTTGAATTTTAACTCAAGCACTTACAAGCTTTATGAACTTGGGTAAGTTTCTTATCACTTCTATGCCTCAGTGTAACCATCTATTAAGAATGACAGTATCTACTTTGTAGAGGTTGGGGTGAGGATTAAAATGTGCTTACCATTTAACATTAGCACGTTCTTAAAGCTTGGAAGAAAGAGCCCATCAAATAGCAATCACTACTCCCATTAAGTAGCAATCGCTACTAACGATTAGGATGACAAAGCAAAAGAGTCTGAGGCCATGTAGTACAAGATCAAATAGTTCTGACAACGTGGTAAGTTCTGAGCACATGACTGCCTTCTAGTTCAGTGCAGTCATCAGCGCCAACTTGATGATTCTACTTAATCGGAGTAAAGTATGCTCTGTGTCCCCACCATCCAATAGTTTAAGACAAAAGGGCTTGATGCACCGTCTGGAAAACTCAACCACGAGGCCTGGTTTCAGATAGCCAAGGACAAATTTTGGCAAGCATTTTATTCCAGCCTTCTTGGATTATCAACCTTTTATAAACAAGCGTGGAAAGAAACTTGATTTTATCTGTCGCCATATCCCCCATAGCCCTTATTATAGTGCCTCACATATGGTAACTTCTCAATTATTTATTGGAAGAAGAGATAATGCTTTCAGAAGTTTGTATTTTTTAAAAAGAATAGCTAGGAAAATCTCTCTCTCTCTCTCTCTCTCTTTTTGTCTTCTACATTCTAATTTAGCTTTAGGGACAAATTCTTTGTACTCAGATACCTTAATTATATATCAGTGAAAGCTGGGGGATAAGTCTTTTTTAGTTAGTTAATTAGCGAGCCTAAAAATAAATATGAAATGCCTGATATTTTAACATTTTGGTGGCTTTCCTCATTTCTTATAGGTTGAAAGTATTTTATC